TAATATTTAAGTAAAACGTAGAATGAATCTTTCTCTCATTACGGCTGCTGACATTCGATACTCTCTGCTGAGGGTGAGTAATTCCAGTTGCTTTTTGTTCCTTCTTGTAATTAAATGGATATCTGTCATGTAGTGATGCCTGCAGGAAACAGATTCCATACTGTATTTTTGATGCGGAGCTGTGCTGAGCGACAAGCATCTGGCACAGCGACCCGGTCAGCATGACGTCTTCAGACGAGTACCTTCAGATCGCTCCTCATCGGAGCGCCACAGTCGGGGGCTGCCCTGATGTTTTGCTCTAATCAGACATCAAGTGTCATATTCAGAAGGCTTCACTCAGGCTTGTACCCGCCTCCACTCTGGGTTTACACCAAAACAACATGAACAAAAAGGTAACGCCTCTGAGAGTCAACATTGGCACCGTCGCTCGTCTGTATGTTCGCGACAAGATCTTGACCTTGTGAGGCCATTGTAATGAGAGGCAGTCGAATATTTCACTTATCATTAGCAGCATGATTAGCTGCCAATGGGCTGTGCCTGGCGTGGTTTAATCCTCTCGGTCTCCGGAGTGCGATAACATATGAGATGACAACAGTTTCACACCCGGTTTCACACCTCCCGTGGTTCCATACGTCGCAGCGGCCTAATCACTCATGAGAGATTAATGAGAGACGTTTGAGGTGTGCTGGGAGATTCTCTAATTACACCCGCACATACGGTACTGTAGTCAGGGGAATAGACAGTTTATGTGCGTGTGTGTAAGCTTCTACCAAAGTACCGTTTTACAAGCTACCTGTTCCCTCGTACTGGCACAAGTTGAGAAACAAAGGCGCTCTCAAGAGAAAAAGGAAGAAAACTTTGTGAAAATGGTTTTAGCTAAAGTATAGCTGCAACGTAAAAATCACAATATACTGCAAAATACCACTAATTGGGATGTCAACAAGAGTTATACTTTAGTAAATATGGAGGAAAAGTATTTCTGGGCTTTGAAAAGGTCCTGCAAGAACTAGTAACGCAGTGAGAAATGTTGCACAAGCGAACTATCCTGTGGATGTCATGTCAATCACTTCTATATTTTCTCTAAGGCCAATTTCTGCCAGACGCAGCAGTGTGTGTTTTCATAGCAGAAGTAAAGATAGAAGGGGGATTTGTAACATCTCAATTGAGTTCCACCTCTTCCCTCTTAGACCCCATTTACACGGGAGCGCAAACGCAAACGGACCGAATTCGTTATCAAAAAAGTCTTCCATTCACACACATTCGGCTCATTTAACGTGTCCGTTCACACGAGGCCACTGGAAACGCTTTAGTACATATGCCGGGCCTGTAAGTGGCGCTGTACTTCTGCCACAAAATACACCAAAAGCAGCGAAGAAGCCCCCCGAG